TCAAGGTAAACGGGGTAGTGAAGATTGTCCACGCTCAGGCCGAACGCTCTCAGGTTAACGGGGTAGTGAAGACTGTCCACGCTCAAGGCCGACGCTCTCAGGTTAACGGGGTAGTGAAGATTGTCCACGCTCAGGCCGACGCTCTCAGGTTAACGGGGTAGTGAAGATTGTCCACGCTCAGGCCGACGCTCTCGGGTTAACGGGGTAGTGAAGATTGTCCACGCTCAGGCCGACGCTCTCAGGTTAACGGGGTAGTGGAAGATTGTTCACGCTCAGGCCGACGCTCTCGGGTTAACGGGGGTAGTGAAGATTGTCCACGCTCAGGCCGAAGGCTCGTCAAGGTAAACGGGGGTAGTGAAGATTGTCCACGGCCTCAGGCCGACGCCTCTCAGGTTAACGGTAGTGAAAGATTGTCCACGCCTCAGGCCGACGCTCTCGGGTTAACGGGGTAGTGAAGATTGTCCACGCTCAGGCCGACGCTCTCAGGTAAACGGGGTAGTGAAGATTGTCCACGCTCAGGCCGACGCTCTCAGGTTAACGGGGTGGTGAGGATTGTCCACGCCAATATTGCGCGAAAGAGAGCCCAGAACGGGAGAAAATTATTGGCCAAATCGGCACCCAGGAACTGCAAGGGGAACAATACAACTGTTAACCACCACATGCATCGCCCACTAGACCGCACGGCACACTCAAGGGCAACGCAGACAATATTGATTGAAAAACTGCGGAGGGTGAGGGTGAAGCTGTGCAAAGAAAGCGCCCCGTGCCGTCAAAGAGCGGTATCGAACGACCCCTCCCGTGGTGCTGGGAAAAGAAGACATAGCCAGGGAGTTCCCTTGACTTGAACTCTATCGAAAATATGTGGGACATCCTGAAGGCGCGCCTCAGCGAGATGGACTCTTCTGGAGCGTCCCGATGTTGAAGGGAGACGGAGCGGGCGAACAACCGTCCTCCATGTTCTGCAGGCTTGCGAGTGACAAGGGAATATGATCGTCAAGTGTCTGGCATTAAATTGGGAGTACGACAGTAGGTGAAAACAAAATGCGACATGTGTTCTTGGTGTTTTTAAGATGATGGAAGGGCGAGAAATAATTTAACACCCTGAAGAATTCCTCGGATTGCCATTTCGAGTTTTCGTGCTCAGTTCGGACATCCGCTACTCACCATCTTCCGATTCGAACCCCGGCGCCTAACGACCGAAACAAAAAAACTCGACCAGGTCACACCAGTCCCTAATGGCCGTTAGCACGAAGGAAATAACCAGCAATGAATCACGGACCGGGTTCAAATGAAACTGAGGGATTTTTTGTACGTTCTAAAAACAATTGCTCGCGACCTTATTGCCAGTATGAAAGTAATTCTTAGTGCTATTAATTGAGGACTATCTTAGATTATGTGTAATGTGATCATATGACATTTGAACACATGCCCGTGTACGTCATGTATCCAGGCAAAAAACGGAAAAATTCAGGATGAGTATGCGGCATAATAATTGATGCATTCCCATTCCTCATGAACATACCCTCAAAATCGTAAGAATGCGTGCAATTCATTGAAAAATATCGATTACAAATTTGAAACGTTTTACCGGCATGTCTGAAGTTGTTTTGGAGTAGATATTGGTGTTCCTTCCACTCTTTGTGGGTCGGTAATTATTGTCAGAAAAACGCCGAAAAGCTTAATACACGTTTAGGCCATCAACCCATGCAGATTACGCCATTACATGGATGATGCAGGTTTGTTGAAGTGAGTCGCATCCCTCTGTGTTTGCGGTGGAATTCATTCTTAATTTCTAGGCCCGGTGTATTGCTTTATTTGCCTCATTATTTCCAAACGTTAAATTCGCGAGCATCTTTTGTATGAGCGACATCGTCTCGCATATTGTTGTGCTGGAAAGGAATCTGGCGCGGCCGTAACCATTTATCTAAAACTGTCTGTATCTCCCGTTGACTGGCACGCGGAATTTCTCCAGAGAACGGGCCAGATGCGAGATCGTAGTTGGAATTTTATCGCAGATTTTCAACGAGCACATGCTGTGCAGGTTCAGAATCAGACTTTCTGATCTTGCAGCCTCAAGCCAGCATACTTTTTAAGGCTCAGCTAGCTGCGATTTTTTCAGTGTCTGAGGATATCATTGACCACCCAGACCAAGACGCTTCTAATCTCGCTCTCCAATGACTTTAAGAAAGGGTCCGGAAATGCTAACCTTAAAATGCCAGAACAATACCGTCGTGGGCCGCAGACATTGGTAGGCCGTAGGTAAGCAGACAACAGGCACTGTAATACGCATAATGGTCAATATCCTGAGATATGGAAGGCCTGGGGATGTGAACAAACAGAGCACACTTTGATTTTTAGGCCGTGAACCACACACTGGATCAGCAATGTTCGTCAAATATTTCCGCATGTTCCAAGGGACGTATGGCAGCACCGTCTAAATAAGCTAGCTTACCACTGCATAACACAAACGGGTTATCTTTCGCGACAGGAAAAAAGTATTTCATAGCCATGAATGGCGAATATACTGTCCCCCGGGCACTGGAAACCAACTGGCCGGAGAGAGAAACGTACGATTGCTCGAGTCTAACCAGATATTACCCAATCCTTCTATTTGTGTTTGTTTGTGTACCTACCAGCTCAAGTTCCAAGAAAAATGAATGCACTAAGTGCATACTCCCCGACTCACATGTTAACATTCCTCCGCCATATTGTGAATGTATGCAATAATAACACATGCAACCGACGCGACAGGAAAGACTGCTGCAAACACCTCGCCATCGTCTGAAAACCACAACAACACCACACCACACACACACACCCACACACAACACACACACCAAACACACACACACACACACACACACACACCACACACACACACACACACCACACCACACACACACACACACACACACACACACCACCACACACACACACACACACACACACACACACACACACACACACACCACACACACCACACACACACACACACACACACACACACAACACACATACACACACACACACACACACACACACACACACACCACACAAACACATGCGCACGAGAGAGCACGTACCGCCGCCAAACACAACCGCTATCGCCTGGACAAATGCCATAAATCCCATCATGGCGATGGTGAGTTGTGTGGCCTGCAAAATTCCCAAATCCGGTTTTGTCTTGATCCGAGCGTAGTCCAGGTTTTCTGCTCCGGTCCAGTCCACCTCACGGATGCATCCGTCACCGCGGATTTATCCGATCAGTAAGCACCCTGATGCCAGCGCCGAGCGGCCGTGTCCCCGGCGAGCTGCACAGAAGCAGGAGGGGTGAGAGGCGGAACTGCAGCAGCACGGCCAAGGCTAACCAGAGTTCACCAAAGCTAACCAAAGCTAACCAGAGCCTACCAAAGCTAACCAGAGTTCACCAAAGCTAACCAAAGCTGACCAGACCTCACCAAAGCTAACCAGAGCTCAGCGGCGGCAGCAGCTATGCGTCGTGGCCCGCGGCTCGTCTTCCGGAAGACTCTGTGGCCGGCGCTCAAATGATGAACGGTGACGGAGACGACATGGACGCAGCGGGCTGAGTGCGTTTGAGCCTCTGTTGTGCCGGGGTTAAGCTGCGGCGGGTCCCTTGCCAGTCCCGCCGCGCGCGCGCTGCATCAGCTCTGGGTTGAAGTTACTGAGGGGATACGCACCTTCCAACAGTACGCCCACCACCTGGGCTTGGCACTGGCGTTGTTCTCCTTGACGGTGCAAGAGGTGCCGCCGCTCACAGGCACCGGTGGCTGTGTGCCATCGGTTGTCATTCAACGAAGCTTATTTCACTGACTGGGAGCCGTGCAAACACACTATAGGAAAGAACCGCGACCGCAATTCGCGCTTATCTACGCCAGCGATGGGGCAGGAGTGGTGAACAGGGGGTGCATGAGGGCTGCCCCAATTGCCTTACCTTCTCCTCAAAAAACTTCCGTCTGCTAGAAGAAGAAACAACTTAGTGTCAAGTGCCGAGTGGGTGTGACCAGAGCGGTCGGCTACATCCCAGATACAAAATCAAGCATCAGCACTGCGACGCTGCGTGGAGAAAGCCGAGGCGCACATCGCCCTCTCCCCCAACAGCTCTTCAGAAGATTTATCGTCCCCGGGAGCGATTCGGTCGAGTCCGACGAGTTGATCATTACACGTCAGGGGTAGCGGCATGCTCAGCAGTTATCACTCCGCTCTCCGCTCGTACTCCGTATCTCCGTATCTCCGTATCTCCGTATCTCCGTATCTCCGTATCTCCGTATCTCCGTATCCTGCACCCGTGTTTTGAGGTCAACTCACGTAGCACACATTTTTTTTGTTTTTTAGACCTCCCAGCACCTTAACTTCTGAGGCGGCAGCCCATCTATGTTGTCAATGGCTTAGCTCATTTGGCTGAAATCGCTGAAAAAGACACTGAGTAGGTTGACAGGGCAGTTCACCTGATCAGAAATTAACCGATAACTCATTCTCAAAACCTTCATAAAACATCTATCTTCCCGGTACCCTGGCATTTTCATGTAAATGGCACAGAAAGAGCCGCAATACAGCGGCGTGTTCTCTTCTTTGTGACTCTTAGTTCGGTGGGATCAACGATAGGCAAGATCAAACGATAAATTGACTGAATTTGAGTTGCCAAAGCAATCTTCACCACGCCCCCAATGTCACTTCAACAATCACCCAGTGGAGCGCGCAGGCCGCCCCAGTTCATAATGGAGCTCGAAAACAATGGCAGCATACTAAGATAGCTACCGTACTTCCGCTTTAATGGTGTCAGCCAAATAATCTTCCCTTGCTTAAGTATACAACTGACATCGTTATAGCCACTTGGATAATAGCTTTGAGTACGTTCAAATTAGCATGCTGACAATAACCAGCAAACGTTTATAACACGCTCCCGGCGAGTGGCGCATCATTTACGGCACTCCCGCCATAAGGCCCTGCTACGCGCGGCCCACCCGCCGGCAGATACTAACGATTCCGCGCTGGCGGGCTGAAGTCAGTCTCATGCCGGGGTGATGTCGGGCTGCAGCATTGCCTCCGGCCGGGCTTGGCAGGCTGGGAGCGCTGAGCGGCACTACCCAGCAGGCGCGGCGGCAGCGCCGAGCTGGTGCCTCCCCCGTCGGACGGCCGTTGGATGAACACGTTGTCGGTCCGGCGGGCGAATGGTTTCCAGCGTCCCGCCGTGGCGCTGCTGCAGGCGTCGCCGGCGGCGCACAGCTGAGCCCAACCCCCGTTCACGGAGCCACCGGACAGCGCACACGCTGGCGCGTCCTACACTCCGCTTCGCGTCCACGCACCTGGCCGCTGAGGGGCATCCAACGGTCCGCGGCTCTCAGCGCTCCCGGTGTTCCACCGATATGAGACCCACTGAGGGTCGTCCGCTAATCGTCCTTCGCTTCCCGGACCAACCCAAGTGGATGCCCAGCTAGATGTAAGCGCCAATCATCCGCCTGGCCTCTGATCCCTCCCGGGGGCATCGCGGAGCATTCTGGCCCGGAATGCCTCGCACCCAGCCCCATTTTTGGGGTCGCAGTGTGTGGTGCTCCCACACGGTATTCGCTTTGGACTTCCGGCGACGCACAGCGACCATAAAAGTTTAGAGTGCTCATTATTCTGGCTGCGTAGTCGGCGGTCGGTGGTCCTGCGGCCAGGCTCGGCCGGGTCACTGGAGGCGCCGGACCCGCCTCGGAACTGTGTCACGGCAGTGGATCCTCCACGCGTGGGCGCCCCTGTGAGGCGCGACGCACGCTCCGACTCGAGCATGCCGTCTGCCCGGGCGCAGCGTTACCTGCTCGGACCTGAGCGGTCGGATCTGATCTTCTCGAACCTCAGCAGCCGCACCTGATCTGCTTGGACCTAAGCGGCCGGACCTGATCTACTCGGACCTGAGCGACCGGACCTGATCTGTTCGGACCTGAACGGCCGGACCTGATCTACTCGAACCTGAACAGCCGGACCTGACCTGTTCGGACCCGAACGGCCGGACCTGGTCTACTCGGACCTGAGTGGCCGGACCTGACCTGCTCGGACCTGATCTACTCGGACCTGAGTGGCGGGCAGTCTGACCCACCACCGCCGGCGTCGTCTCCCGCATCGCTCTGCGAACCGCTCAAAATCCGTCTCGCAACAGTTGTGGCCGAGTGACCGCTATTTTTTGCTGCTACTCGCTGACACTGGGCTTGGTCAATGGCACACGTCGATCCGGAGGACGAATTCTTTGGGTGATAGCGAGGTGTGGTGGAATGTAAATACTGAAAGCAGGGTTTTCTCCGCGAGGGATCGCAAAAAAGCGGCACAGCATGGGCGAAAGTGCCTTTGAGGATTGGAACTCGAGCTGCCGCGTGACGTAACAGGACATGCATTCTTAGCTGCTCTGTTATGGCTAAGCGTCCTTTGATCCACGAATGAATTTTGAGCACAGAGTGAATTTAAAAGCAGAGCCAAATCCAGATATACGATTCCGGGAAATATGAGTCATGGTATGAGCCATTTGAAAGGTGACATCAACCCCCCCCCAAAAAAAAAAAAAAATATGGAGGGCTGTGGTAAGCTACAATGATGCGTATAGCCTGCTTATTTGTTGTCAACCCCCGGTCTTCAAAGGAGGCTGTGTTTGGCTGCGCAAGGTGGTCCCGGAAAGCAGTGTAAAATGATCACCGTGGGATGCTCCAAAGTTACAAACCAAATCAACTGCCCTACTGCGACCGGCTCTCACGTAATGTAGGTCTGGCTTGTTCATTAACTTTCATCACACTTATCTAAGGGCCTTGGTACGTGCCGCTTTCCGCCTGGACATAGTTGCGTGGAAATGCGAAACTCATCCGTTTCAAGAGAGCATTTTCTACTGAGCATGGTATGAATCTCGTTCGTCCTCTGAAGTCTGTGGTCACGCATGCAGACAAGCCATCCCATGCGTGCTTGATAGTAACTTTGAGACCTAGATAAGACAGTAATATTAGCCTTATTCCTTGATAGAAAAACCAGGAGAATGGACATATAGTTGGGTTGATATGTCCGCAACGTGCCTTTATCGAAACAATAGCAAAAATGAATACTGAACACTTCTTGAACACTTCTGCTATTGTGAATATGTGAATGTGAATAATGCCCTTCGCTAAAGCACTGAACAAACTTACGTAATTTTGAGACCATGCAAGTTTACCAAATGAATGTATATAAGCAGACAGGGACAAAAACATATCCTTCAGCCAGCGGCAGGTCCAGGATTTCGCCAATGGGGGGGAGGAGGGGGGGGGGGGCACGCAGCATTGCGGACCTCTGCAGTCTGGGAGGCCTCCAAAAAGCTCTTGGATTTCGACCGTTTAACTTCAAGGTGCTCATGCATTCATTTTTAACAACGGACGTCATCTTCCTCAGCGCAGCCCCAGAAAACCAAATGAGGTTCGTATGTGCACACGTGGAGAGCGTTCATTTTCTCCAAATAGTGGTGAATTCTGTAATTTTGAGGCTAAGTGTGTCGGAAGACAGATAGCAAAAGGAGTTAAGACTCGCTGCTCGTGCCATCAAAGTCAAGCACGGAACTTGATTCCAAGGTCGGCTACGGCTGGGTAGCCTCCGGCGGCTAGTCGTAAGGTCGATGTGATTGGGTGATGGCTAATGGCTAATGCAGAGTTTTAGTTTTAACTGTATTCCAGGAGTTCAAATTATCCTAGCATTAAAAATGCATCAGGAACGTAATGCACACATGTGCTGAGTAGTGCACATTCAATAACCACGAAAATGACATATACGACGCTGGTCACGCAAAACATTACCTAAGGCAATTGAGTGCAAAAATGCATCTGGACATACCCGGTTGCTGCTCTCTGCGGCTACAGCGCTTAGGGAAATCGTCATCGTGTAGATCTCAGACCTATATGCATGAATAGACTTAGTCAGGCTCGTACACACAAGTAGGCGAAACAGAATGAGTGAAGAGACTTTTGGTGCTCACAAACACAAGTGGGGTTTTCGGCAGCAGAGTAAAGTTCTCCCGACTTCTGACATTTTGGGAAAAGCCCTCAGCCAATGTAGAGGGCCGCCGAACATCAAGTACCCCCGGTTTGTTGTTAACTTATATGGGCCGCAAGAGAAACACAGGACCCACCATAACATATGGGGCGCACTGGAACACAGTCTACAGCCCTTTGGGCTGTTGATCGTTTTGGATATTTGGACGGCGTAATGAGCCTTAAAAGCCTTGCTAATCAGCACCCTCACAGGAGTAATTATTTTTGTCTGTTCGTAGGCCCTTCACTTTCGCTTGCGACTGTTCTTGGACGTCTGGGGACCCGAAGGTGTCCAATTTTGTTGCGTTTGTTAAAACACCACATCCGTTCGACCGGTCGTGACCCCCTCCAAATACTATGGGGCCCCGACGGGGTCCTGGGTGGAGGGCATTGACCTGGTGCCCCCGTCCCCCTCTGGATCTGCCACTGTTTTAGCCGGATTCCACGCCTGAGTTCGCCCAGCGCTCGCTCAGATACTCGTGCAGCTCACTGAGCATGCGACAGCCTAAGCAGAATAGCAGCAATGCCATTCAATTCCAAAGTCAATGACAGGCAAGCTGAGCAAGAACAAAAGCCGGTCAAACATCGCAATCGCTTGAAGTAACTGCCACGCGTGCTCCTGAGATAATGCTTGCGCTGACGGGACTCTGCATCAGCTCGCAGTCGACTGCGAGCTGGCTGGCTGAGAGGTAACCATCTGGTATTTCAGCAACGCGAACTGGTTATGCCAAGATATAGCCAGTCTAGTCAATGGTAGATAACATTTATGTCTGCTTTTTCATTTCAGTCAAACCGCTGTCATAGTACTCCCAAGCACGTATTTGTTCTAGTCAACTTATAGCTTGCCAAAACAACGCTGATGCTGAATTGCGGTGATAAGTAGAAGACGTTAAATAACACTGCATTCAACGATCTATTTGCAAGATTAAACCGTAGCCCAGTAAGACACACGCACTGACTATAGGCCACCTTGGCCGCGTAAGAGGACATGGCCTGGATCACAAAATGTCAGCATATGTAAACAAGGAGCATGGCATAAAACAACGCAAGTTTCGTAAGGCTAGCTTCATCGTTTCTCCAGCTACGCCGCAGGCTGTTTTGATGACGGGTAACTCCCACAACGCCCCCGCCCCCCCCCCCCCCTCTCACTGCAAAGGGAAGTCCGCGGATGGTTGAGGACTTCACTGCAACACATGATCAGCGCAGGAGGTACGACGAAGCGTCACCCTCGATAAGTGACACGAGAGCCGCATCTCTAACATTCCTACAACGTCGCGCGTCACATGCCTACATTCCATCCAGAAAAAACCGCGAGGTTTCACACCAGCCAGCCAGCCGAGTGGCGTCTGGGGCGAGGCGTGGATAGTGACGCGTCACGGGCCGGCCCGCTCGTCGATCACGACGCTGCGGCGGCTGTCAGGGACGCGTCGGCGCCGTCGCCAGCCTACGCCCGTCACGGTCCAGATCGGCCGACAGGCCGGGTCAAGTCGTCTGGCGGCGGCGAGCGATGGCCGGCCGACGATGCAGCTGGGACGGGCCGCTCCGGCCGGCACGCCGCCGTCTGCCCGGCAGCTGTGCCCCACCGTCTCGTGCTGGCCAGCGCGCTAAGAGGCTGTGCTCTGCGCCGCAGGTGCAACTCCCGGAACGTGGAGACGGGACACAGCCTGTGTTGAGACATCCCAGTTCGTTGCAAGGGGGCTCGCCAACTGAAGGAAGAGTACCATGGTAGAGTACCATAGAAGACTACTGTGGTTCATGAACCATGGCGTAAACCACGGATTTGCGATTGTACAGCTTGTAAGTTGGCACTTTTCCACGCCCACCGAAGGGAAAATCCATGTCGTGACAAGTCTGCGAGCTGACAACCACAGCGAGAATGCGACCCGCAAACCGGACCAACGATACTGGGTCAGTGGTTGCGAAATTGTAGAGTTGGAAAGGAGAAACAAGTGGTCAAGCCGATCACATTCGTCTAGATTGGACTTTGGGTGCATTCGCAGCGACTCCGACGACAAGAAATCTATGATACCGACGTCATTAATGTCACTATACCCCATAGATTCTGGGCCTTTTGGTGTTAGCAGCTTCACGGGCAACGAAGATT